CATACCAGCGTCAGCATCTGAACAAATTGGTGTTATAACGAATGTACCTACTGATTACAGCAATTTCAAACTATACAAACATCTTACTTGTTCAAAAAAAATTATATCTATTCGCAGATTTATGCGTAAAGTAAAGGGTGACGACGGTGTCGTGGCGCTGTCGCCAACCCAGACAATTTCAATTACGTTCGCTTCGACTAGCTTACCAGAATCTGTAGAGTTGAATTCATGGCTCTTTCCAGTCAGGAAATACATTCCACCTATTAAACAATGTTTTAATTGTCTAATATATGGCCATACAGCAGCTTTTTGCAAGAATGCAGCACGTTGCTCAAAGTGTGGTGACAATCACAATTACAGGGAATGTACAAGTCCAGTCTTATATTGCTTTCATTGTAAAGGCAGTCATATTGCTATTGATAAAATATGTCCCATTAAGAAGCAAAAAATAATTGAAAACAAAAAAAAGATCAACAATCCAGTAACTTATTTTGATATAGTAAATACAAAACAATTTCCACCATTACCAAATAAAAAAACTAATGATTTCAAACAAGATTTAATAAAATTATTAGAAAACTAGTGGACGCCCGCGACTTCGTCCGCGTGGAAGTCGGTATCCCGTGGGAGTGAGAAGTTTTCCCAGTAAAAAGTACCCTATGTGTTATTCTGATGTATAACCTATATTGCTGTAAAGTTTTATCCAAATCCGTCCAGTAGTTTTTTCGTGAAAGAGTAACAAACATCCATACATCCATACTTACAAACTTTCGCCTTTATAATATTAATAGGATGATCATATTGTAAATATTCTTGTACAAAGTTTAATTAAAATTAAGACAAATAGCTTAACTAATTCCAGTAATATTAAAGAGGCTCTAAAAGAAGTAGTTTCATCTTATAATAGTAAATAATGGCTTTAAAGGTAATCCAGTGGAATGCTCAGAGTGTTTTATGTAATAAAAATTGCCTAATTCATTTTCTATATGAACAAAATGTTCATATAGCTCTTTTGTCAGAAACATGGTTAAGACCAGAATTAAAATTTACTATAAAAGGCTATACAGTTGTTAGATTGGACTCAGGTAATAGACACAATGGTGTTGCAATTGCCATTAGAAATGATATTCCTCATCAAGCTCTAAATACTACATCTGATAATTCTATTCAAAACATTGCCATTAGAATAAGGTTTCATAATACAGATCTATCAATAGTAAGTATATATTGTCCTCCATATAGTACACCTAGGTTCTCTAAGGTTAAATTAAATAACTTAATTAAACAAATTCCTGAACCGATGCTGATTGCAGGTGATTTAAATGCTCACAATACATTGTGGGGATGTAATTCCACTGATACTCGTGGTAGGGACATTTGCGACATAGTTGAAAACAATGATTTGTTATTATTAAATGATGGTAGGATGACAACAGTAGGCTCAGCTAGCTGGAGTCCAAGTGCAATAGATCTCACTCTAGTGTCTTCTTCCATTGCTCTGTCTTGTAATTGGGATGTTCACGATGATCCTCTTGGAAGCTATCACCTCCCTGTAACAACTGAAATAGAATTTCAACCATGCTTCAATAATTCTAACATACCTACCCATTACAATCTCAAACTAATAGACTGGAAAAAATATTCAACATTAGTCAATGAAAAATTACAATCTTATATATCAAGCAATAGCGCAATTGACTCATATAATAGTTTCTGTGATGTTTTAAATGAAGCAATTGAAGAATCTAGCCCTCAAAAAATAACGTCCGAAAACAGTAGCAAGGTGTTTCTTAATAATAAAAAAAAACGGAAATTAACAGTCCCTTGGTGGAATAGCATATGTAACGATGCAGTGCAGTCTTCTAAGCAGGCATACGTTTCATTCAAAGAAAATTCTACAAATGAAAATTACATCAATTTCAAGAGGCTGCAAGCTCGTAAAAAGGTTATTCTAAAACTTGAACAAAAAAAGGCTTGGCAAAGGCTTTGTGAATCTTTTAATAGAAATACTCCAATTAAGTTCATTTGGAATTATATGAGAAAATTTAATAATACTTTCACTAACAATATAAGCATTACAGATGAGTGGATTACACCCTTTTTAAACAAATATACTCAAGCCAATGATTCAGATCGTTCTCCATTCCTTCTACTTGGACATAGCTTAAATGAAACTAATAAGTACATTACAGACAGATTCTCCTTGCAAGAACTTAAATGTGCCTTAAAATCACGTAAAGAGACTGCTTGTGGATTGGACTGGATATCGTATCATATGTTAAAGGAATTAAATGATAGCTCACTCAGTATTTTCTTAAGCATTCTAAATACACTATGGTTGCAAAATGAAATCCCTGAATCTTGGAAAACTGACTGTATCATCCCCATTTTAAAACCAAATAGGAAACCTGGCTTAGTAGACTCATATCGACCTATAGTTCTATCTTCATGTGTAGGAAAGATATTTGAACAATTGATTAAACTGAGACTAGAGTTTTATATAGAAAAATATGGAATATTACCTGACAATCAATTCGGCTTCAGAAGAGGGAAATCTACTCGTGATAGTATATGTCATCTCCATTTAGATATCCTCAATGCCTTTTCTGATGACAAAGCACTAGTCTGTGTGTTTTTCGATATAGTTGGAGCTTTTAATAACATTAATCATCAAATTTTATGCTCTGAACTAAATTCCATTGGGTTACCTGGAAAAATAATAAATTGGATATATAATTTCATTAATGGCAGAATAGTATATGTTAAACATAATTCTAAGTTATATGGCCCAAAATACTCATTTAAAGGTAGTTGTCAAGGAAGTATTTTAAGCCCTTTGTTATTCATTTTGTATATAAGAAGACTTAATATTGTTTTAGGATCTAGTGTTACCAATTTACAGTTTGCTGATGATTTAGTGATTTACTGTTACTCAAATAACATACAAGAATCTGCAGAAAAATTGAATCAAGCCACTACAAGACTTAAAATCTACTTTGACAAACTACAATTAACAATTAGTCTGGAAAAAAGCAAAGTGGTAATTTTTAATAAATATAAACCTTTAGACAACATAAATATAGCTTTTGGTAGCTCCATTTTACCTGTAGTTACTAGTGTTAAATTTTTAGGAATAGAATTTAGTAGTAACTTATCATTTAAGTCATATGTCTCAATTATAATGGATAAAGCTAATAAAGCATATAATATATTAAGAACTTTAGCGAAAACTTCATGGGGTTCTGACCCAAAAATCTTAAAAATTCTATATAAATCACTGGTCCGAAGCAATTTTGAATATGGTTGCTTATTTTTTTCAACATCTCATAAACTTATTGAAAATCTTGAAAAAATTCAAAATAAATGCCTAAGACTTGTTATTGGTGCAATGAATTCATCACCAATTAATTCAATACAAATCGAATGCAACATTGAGCCTCTTAAATTTCGATTCCAATATTTGAGGGACAAATATATTATAAAATTATTTTCTTTGTGCAATAATAAATTACTTGTAAAAATTCTCAACTTTCGGAACAACATAGAAAGACCCTTTATTTCTTTAAATATAAATAACCTACATGACAATTATTTTAAAACAATAAAAAAATATATTAATTGGCCTTGTTATTGGGGTACCTATGACTGTAAATTCCCTGAAATTCATGTCTCCATTGAAAATAATTTGCATACTAAACAAGATGTGTATAGAGAGCTACATAAATGGTCAGAGTTTAAAAAAATATACACAGATGGTTCAAAAACAGATTCAGCCACTGGTATAGCTATTTACATCCCATACAAGAAAACTGGCTTTGGTGTAAAAATAAGTAATTACTCTTCCATATTCACTGCAGAAGCTGCAGCTATTCTAGAAGCATTACATTATATAGAAGAAAATAAGGATGTTTATCAAAAGTGGTTAATAGTATCAGACAGTCAAAGTGTATTAAGTGCACTGCAAAACCACATCTATAGAGCTGATCGTAATTATATAATAGAATCAATTAGACTAAAAGTAAGAGATTTGCAACAGAGAAATATTGCTGTATCATTTTTTTGGACACCTTCTCACATTGGAGTTCAAGGCAATGAAGATGCCGACACACTTTGTAAAGCAGTAGTCTCATATGACAAATGTGTCGTGAAAGATATTGGTACACCTTATACAGATGTTATGCCTTACTTGAAGAAAGAAATAAAAAAACTATGGCTCGATTACTGGAAAGCATCTCTGCAAGAAAAAGGACAGTGGCTTGGTGAAATTCAGGATATCAGTACCTCATGGTTTGACAAGGGTGATTACAAGTCAAGAGATTTTTACACTACCTTAAGCAGATTAAGAATAGGCCATTGCCTTTTCAAAGATCATTTGTATCGATTAAAGATTGTTAACTCACCTATTTGTGACTTCTGCAACATGGAGAACCAGTCACTAGAACATATCTTTTTCAAATGTCCCTCATTTAAAGCACAAAGAAAAATACTCTTTCAAGAATTACAAAGAATGAAGATTTTTAACGAGGAAACCATCCCGCGCGACTTAAGAAAACTCTTATCAAACATTGACAGTTATGTTCCTGTATACAGATTTGTCAAAAATACAATTCAAAAGATTTAAAGATAAAGAAAATCCAGGCAGGGCTGTATGGACCTAACATCCTTTGCCCGTCCCAAACAAGGGGGACAAATTAACCAAAAAAAAAAAAAAAAAAAAACAACACCACTAGAAGTCACATCAAATGTCAAAATGTTACTGTCAAAAAATTGACAAATGTAGGTTTGTTTTTCTGCTAGGTTTGTGCATACAGATCGAAACAAAACTAAATAACCTTTTATTAGATTTTTACACATAAAACAAAATAGTGATGTAGTTTTTTATTGTACCAAGCTATTAAAACTCATGGGATTAGCTTAAAGAATTCCAATTAACATGACATCTGTTTGTTTTGATTGAAGTTGTAACTAATTTGATAAGGTATACATTTATTATAGTCAAAATGGAACTTGGTGACTGGAGAAATAGTATTGTCAATCAGTTACAAGCCAGGAATAAGTACGAAACAGCCGCATTCCAGGACATAATTACTTTTCGTAAGTAACATAACCTAAAATTTTGATTGCCTTTGTCTATTTGTTAATATTGGAAACTATTTGCATATAGAAAAATTATCTAGGAACCATTATTTAATATGCTTGCTAAACTATTCAACAGTCACACTTCATGATATGAGTTATCTCCGCCGCCATAAAATAAATTAACCTGCTAGATAATATCTAAAACAATATAATTATATGATGTTTAAGTTGACTTGGAATTATTAAATAAACACTGTCACACTATGGAAAATATTTATTATTTATAATGTTTTAAAATAATATTCTTAAGTCTGACTAATATTAAATCAGTAAATCTTAAAAAAGTGATAAAGTATTATGTTTTCCCTTTCAGAAAGTAGACTGTTTGATAATGTCAATACTTTGAAAAATGAAAATTTACAACTAACATTAGTTAATGAAAGAATAAGATACTCAAACACAGACAGCAGTTTAGCAGGTGGTGGTGAGTATTACATTATAAATATAAATTCTAATGTTTAATTTAAGAAATATGTTTGACTAAATATTATTATGTGCACATAGAACTATATTTTTTGTCATTTAAAAGAAAATAAAAGTACCTTCATGGTAATAACATTTTCTAGGTAATGTAATTAATGAAAAAATACAAGCATTAGAACAAAAGATATTAATTCAACAAGAGGAGTTAACATCTTTACATAGACGTCGGGGTGAAAGTGCACAGCAGATTATTAATCTCAATGCTCAAGTACATGATCTGGAAAAGCAATTACAGGCTAAAGATATTATGTAAGTAAAATATATAATTTGACATTTTTATATAAGATGAATTTCTCAATCACTAAACTATTAATATTTCAACGACCTCCGTAGCCGAGTGGTTCGCACGCCGGTTTCAAGGTGTCGCCATCTCTGAGGTCCCGGATTCGATTCCCAGTCGGGTTAATGTAGAAAATAAACTTTTCTATATTGACTCGGGTCTGGGTGTTGTGGTACCTTCGTTGTCTCAGATACTCCATAATATGGGGGCTTTAGCTACTCATCTTGGAATCTGAGCAATGTATGTGATGTTGTTAAATATTTATATTTATAAATATTTATTTATATATTTATCTTAACTTACGATGGCCTAGAGCTGTTATGAAACAATTAAAATTGCAACTACAAATAAAATTAATTATTTTTAGCATAGTAATAATTTAAAATAATTAATATTTTTTTTAGAAACTGGTGTATTTTTTTGCATTTTTACACTTTGCCTATTCTAATATTGTTAAAAGAGACATTCTAATTTTGTTTGTAATAGGTAAAGTGAAGAAATTTTGGATCACTTAAAATTATTTACTAATATAAAGCTACATTATCAGCAAGTTCCTTAAGCTACATTTTATACTAGCTGTTTTCCCGTGTAAATTATGTGTGTCTCCCTGTGCCACCCACATATATAATGTTATAGATTGCTGTAGGTGCTAAGAGCATTAAATCAATTAAGTTGATTTAATACTCTTAAGTGTAAATAAAAGAATTTCTAAAATTAGTCCAGCAGTGACAAAGCCAATTTAATGCAAACCAACAAACAAAAAATAGTATAGATTAAAAGAAGTAAAATTGTGTAAAGTTTGCAGAATTGGCTAGTTTTAAATATACATTTTTTTATTGGTACTATATATTTAAATAACCTCACAATAATAGTTCTTGCCTCTTATTTACACAAGATATCTTTACAAGTGCTGCAGAAACCATTGCAAATATAAAAAAAAAAATCAATTCATCAATTTAAACAAAATAATAATTATTACCTTGTGTGTTCATAAGTATAGAGACAATTTTTTTACTGAAAAATAAAATAAAATGTTACTGGCTGTTATTTTTATTAATTTGTGCTTTTATAAATTATAAATTTTAATTTTCCAGAATTTCAGAAAACACAGCTATAATAGCTTCACTTAGAGCTGAGATACAAATGTATGAAAATAACATGACTGAGCTACAGGGTTTGAACCAAGTATTGAGGGATGAGCACCAAGCCTTACAGATAGCGTTTGCGGCCATTGAAGATAAATTAAGAAAAGCACAGGTATTAAGATCTATTACTTTCTCACTTTAACAAAATATTTACAACACACATGCAAACAGGACCAGCTTGAGATAGTAAATCTTTGGTCACCCATCTTATGACTGCCCCCTGCGAAAGTTGCTAAACTTCTGACTGAATTCGATCTTTAAAATGAATTGTATCTTAAATTTATTGTAAACGAATAAATGGAATCTAAGTGATTTACTGTTAAAAATAAACAATTTTATAATATAGATTAATGAATTCCGAGTATTTCAATATTCAAGTATTTTTGACGCCTTACTTTCTTGACTTTTCTTGTGATTTTGGCTGTGGTCTCTGCACTTTTATTATACGTTTAAATCAGTTGAGTTGCTAGAAAGCAAAGACGACTTAATACTAGCAGGCCAATACTGATTATGTTTTAGATCCACTCAATATCTCAATATTATCTAAAAGATTTACATTTTGCTATTGCTATTTACTGTCTATCTAAATATTATAACGTAATCGTTAACAGTATTGGCCTACAGGTAGTGGCCTAGCCTAGGTACATTGCATTTGCCTCAACATAGCAAACATTTCAACAATGTTAAGTCAAATGCACGTCTGGATATAAAAAAAAAACTGTCAGACTTCAATTGATTTTTAACCTTATTTCTACGTTCCCAAAGGGAAATATCCTTTAATATGAAGGATGTTGGAATTCGAACCCAAGTGTAGGTGTGTCTTTGTTTACATAATTTATTATTTTTAGCATAGTAATAATAGGTTTTTAGTTTGGATCGATTTATTTACCTACAAGATTAGTTTTTATAGCATCATTTAAAAATTGGGAAAGTGCCAAAACTATTCTAGGTTGCCTATAGTATATTCAGGATGTTTCCCTATTAATTTTATTTCATAGTTAAATTATTGTAATACATAAAAGTTATAAGGTAAATCTTTTTACAAATGTAAGCTCATTAGTTATTATTATTTAACTTCCTTAACAAGTGTCCATGAGCGACGGTAATCACTTACTATCAGGTGATCCGTCTGTACGTCTGCCCCCTATCCCATAAAAAAAAGTTTAATATATACTAATATTATAAAGAGCAAAATATTGATTGTTTGTTTGTTTGCATATAGGCTCTTAAACTACTGGACCGATTAAAAAAATACCATTTGAATTTGACACTATCGCTGATTGCCTATGTAATCCAATATTTTTAAAAACGTTAAAGATCTGTATGAAAACGTCCAAACCCGTACGAAGTCAGGGTGGTACGCTAGTCTATACCAATATATTTATTTGCATTGAATAGGTGCCGGAGCTACTGAACCGATTTTAAAAATCTTTCTTACATACGCGGGTGATATAGGTTATAAATTACGCGAGTGAAGTCGCGGGAACAGCTAGTTTATATACGCAACTCTATATGTTGGTTAAAATCTCCGTTACGAGTTCTATAGAAGCGAACACACCTAACTAACTAACTAATTAAAAGCCATACGAAGTGGAGCAAGCTGTATATTTTACGACACTCGTGTGATTATCACAGTACCTACGCGCATCTACATCCAGAATAACATTTTTCTAGTTAGTCTGAATGAAGCTTTTTAAGATTACATCAAAAAGTGTGATTTATTATTTGAGGAAAATTTCACATAAATATGAGGAAAATATTTAAGAGGGTACTTAAATTATAATAAATATAATACAATAATTGATTTTAGATCAGTGAGTGAAGTGATTTTGTTTTTTCAGGATGAAAATCGTTCCTTAGCGGACAGATTTCTAAAATATAAAGCCAAGGATGCGGATAAAATGAATGAAGAAAATGAACATTTTTTGAAGTAAGTAAGCTTATTGGATATTATATTTTATGTAGTGATTAACCGCTAAGCATGCATTAGATACTTTGTGATAATCACAGACAGAATTATTTTCATCATGGCTCTATCAGGGACTTTTAAAAACTTAATTTTCGAGAAACACATCCTTATTGAAATGTAGAGATAGTGTTAAAATTGCATACAGTGGGGGCATTTGGTTAAAAAATGCAAATAAATTTAAAGCTGTAAGTATACTTATACCTACAAGAAGCGTATTGTCTTAATGAATGTCGTTGCTGTTACACAATCATAGAAAAGTGCACCGTAAATTTAGAAACGTTTGTTTCTCACTTTTTTTCTATAATGTTTTCAATTGTATACGTGGCTTTACGTCAGGCTAGCATTATTGTCAAATTTCCTCCATTGATTTTGAACCCTACAATGCATTAAGGTTTAAAATCAAATGGAGAAATTTGTAACTGTACAACTACCTAACGATTTGTATTGTTGTTAAAACGCGATGAACTTTTTTAACGCTATATATAAGTATTTAGTTATGTTTTAGTATTGTGTAATACCGCCGTTGATGGGTGTTGTGATACAGAGTGGGTATGTGTGTGCGACGCAGCTTAAAGCTTGCATAGTGTATCGATATTTTTTGTTTTTGCTTCTTTTTGTTTAATTTCTTCAACAGGTCAAGCAACCCTACCGCGTTTATCATCAACACGATTGGTAGAGTTAGTTTCGGGTGAGTTCGACATAATGTGAATGAGGATGTGGTGGTTTGAAGGCATTGTGACGTTCATATTTGAACATTTATTATCTCTTCATGATATCGGTCCATTTATGTCTTAACTGCACTCTGAAACTGACTCATGTTCGAATTCTGTGTCTATATCATAAAACTTTGTTTATGAATCGTTTGGGACACATAATTTTGTTATCTTTTCAAAATGACGTTATTGTCCTTTTATTTTCTTACACGTTGTATATCTACATGATTTCTGTTTTCATTATTTTCAAAACTTAATAATATAGAAAGCCATTTTTTCGTCATTTTAATATTGGGAAATTAATCTATTTTCATAACAGACATATTAATATTGTAACTGCTATGAAAGTGTGTGCATGTAATTAATAATTAACGAGAGTTTTTTTATAAAAAATATATATTTTCTTACATAATTTATTACAATTTTATTACAATTTCGGACTGGGTGATATATTTTGAATCTAACAGTAATAAATAAATGTGTTATTGAAGTTATCGGTATAATCTATTGTGATGTGATTTAAATATAAATCAATTGTCTATGAGTGTTGTGTTTTTGTTTAATATTTCGAAATGTATCATAGCTAACCTAAATACCTCACGAATTACATAACTGTGAATTGTAATAAAGATCTAATGGTTTTTGTAATTAAATCTGAGTCTTATGTTAACAATTTTGGTATGGTTTTTGCATGATACCTGCACGTTTGATTACAGATACTTGGCACATTTGCGGTATGCGTTTTGCCTGTTGATAACATAATCAATTCATTAATATATGTGACAGGTGATTTAATATATTTGTTGGATTACTGTTACTTTTGACAAATTGTTTTTTTTTTTTCAGATTGTAACGATTTATTTTGTTTTTATTTTTTAAATGCTATTCTAGGCAAAGTGTAGGTAAAATAGGCAGTGTCGGTACAATTTTGAGTTTAAAATAAAAACCTTTTCTGCATTAAGTAAACTGAATGGCTAAATTTATTATAAAAAAAAATATAGCGTATCTCATCTATTATTAATAGCGTACTTTTTTAATAATATTTTTTTATGTACATTAAGTCATATTGATGGTAGCTTACAGATTCCTTACAAAAAACTTTAATTGTCTTTTTCGTTTCGTTATCTATTCGAGTGATGTAGTACAAAGATGACAATGCGCCTATCTGATTTAAATAAAGTTACTTTCTAATTTAATGCTACAATTCGTACGAATTGACATGTAACCTGAAGGCCTATTTATTTGTTGTTCTGTTTTCGGTACTGTGAGGTGACGTCACAGTACCGAACACACAACAACAAATAAATAGGCGAACATGAGCGTAAGGAAACGGGTCAAGTAGTATTAGTGTTAGTTCGTATTAGAGCATCGCTTGCATCTTTTAGTCGCGTTTAGCATCTTTTATATTGTATTGTCTTTTATATTGTATTGTACAGATTCCTTACAAAAAACTTTAATTGTCTTTTTCGTTTCGTTATCTATTCGAGTGATGTAGTACAAAGATGACAATGCGCCTATCTGATTTAAATAAAGTTACTTTCTAATTTAATGCTACAATTCGTACGAATTGACATGTAACCTGAAGGCCTATTTATTTGTTGTTCTGTTTTCGGTACTGTGAGGTGACGTCACAGTACCGAACACACAACAACAAATAAATAGGCGAACATGAGCGTAAGGAAACGGGTCAAGTAGTATTAGTGTTAGTTCGTATTAGAGCATCGCTTGCATCTTTTAGTCGCGTTTAGCATCTTTTATATTGTATTGTCCCTGTGTATAAAAGCACAACAGTAGAAAACCCTTATAAAATATTTTTAAATAAGAAAAAGAAAAAAAAAACGTGTTTAACTTAATACATCTACTTATAAAGTATGAAGGTCCCAAACACAAAACAGATAAAAAGCCGTACCTACTGTCTAATAGTTTCGGTAAAAGAGCTACCTACTAAATAGAGAGGCTGTGACTGTAACAAACTGGACGCACAGACATGACTAATCTATAAGAGCTCCAATTGTTCCATTCGAATTGAAAAAAATATGCTGTAAACTGAAACTCTAAATATGCGTATAAAGGTAATTTTAAAAGACACATTGGTCGGTAGGGCTCACATGCCGAGTGCAGACTATTTCTGTGCTTATTTTCATTAGTCGGTCTTTGACTGTCCTTGGTTGTGCGACTAGTGCAAGTTCATTTACATTGGTCGATATGGTCCGCATGCGGTGTTTTGTTTGTGCTTATTTGCATTAATCAGTGTTTGACTGACACTGAAAAAGTTTATCGGCTAGTTAGGCGCTAGGAATCACTCGCACTCTACATGCGGGCCCTATTGACCAATGTAAATAAGCTTGCACTAGTCGATAAACCAATGACAGTCAATGACCGACTTATGAAAATATGCACAGAAGTTACCATTATGAAAGTCAACAGTTAATATAAAAACCACTAACGGGCGAACCCTTTACCTATCGCATCATCACTTCTAAAGAGGTAAAATGTGAGAGCAGATCCCTTCCCCCCCCTCTCTCTCTAACTTTTAGAATTAAAGAGTGGAATACGTGAGATATGCTGTAGGTTGACTCCAGTGAACATTTTCAACGAAAATTTGTTTGAACAGCATATAGCTACTTTATAAGTAAATATTACTTTGTCATTCATACAACCACTATGAAAACACAACAAAAACAAAATAGGTGTTTTGCATAGGTTCTAATGTATTAAAATGAAATATTTTTACGGAACGCTCTGTGTGTGAGTTCGATTTGCACTTGCCCATATTTTATAGTTATACAGCCAGTAGCACAAACGTTCTTTAAAATTTTCATTAGTTTAAAGCGACATTACCCATACAAATTTGACATTCATTAGAGCTTAACGATGTCATTAAACCTTAAAGGACGTTTGTGCAACTGACGGATAGTGATCTAAATAAATTTAATACACATTAAAAGTAATATCATTACCTACAGTAGGTTAGAAAATATATACATTATTGTCTTTATCTTCTTATTATTATGGAAATATAAAAATAAACTACATACACATAAAAAAATAAAATTTAACGTTCATTAACAACTAAAGAACAACGCCAGATCACCCAATATTAGAAAATAATAAGTGATTTGCATAGTGTTATATTTCATTTGTACCAATAGAATGGCTCTCGGGTGTCATGTTAATTCGTACAAGTTATTTATTTTAGGTAATACCATGGTCCATAAAAACGTAGACAGCCCATCTACGCAAATCTTTGTTTTCTATTTAATTTTATATGCCTGCAGCTTTCGCAAACTGCTTCCAAATCAGCAAATGAATCACAGGGAATTAATCTTATGTTAGCTGTGAGCGATTTTCCTTTATTTGCAGAAAGAAGAGTGACAAACTCCGCAAAGAACTTGAGGAAGCAGCTAGAGAAGGTGGCAGTAGAAGTAGTGGTGGCTCCCCTGGTGGGTCTGCCGACGATAAGATACTTGATTCTATGCCGTACTACACGACATCGTTACCAAACAAAGTAGCTTTAAGATTTGTAAGTCACCATCAGATTTTTTCATAACTATGATATATAAAATACACGTGATCTAATTCTGAATTCTAGTTACTCTAATAATGAAACGAATTATTGCTACCTCCTTGAATTTGAACATTTATGTTTTATGTGTGCGTTTTATAATTGTCAATGACTACTTTACATCAGCTATTCTTATTATGATGTAAATAGATTCTTAATGAATACTAAATTCATTATAAGATATTGAACTTGTCATGTTTGTTAGTCTAAAGCTAAATTTTACCAAGTTCCCGGTAGAGCTGGTTCGATGAAACTGAAATTTTGCATTTCATATAAAACTTGAATGACAATGGTATACTAATATACGGACGTGAAGTAGGAATCGAATGGTATCTCTGTAATTAAACAAACAAAAAAACAATAAAAGCTTCGCAAATGCAAAAAATATATATCTTTTGTAGATGTGTCGAGGTTATATTTTTTTACGATTCTGTATATAAGTTTAAAATAGGTTAATACGAGTATGTATAATTTATGTAGGCCCGTTACAGAATAATATCTTTTGTCTGTCGCTTTTGTTATTTCATTACGAAATGAAACTGAATATAATTTGTGAATACTAATTTTAATATTATTATATGTGGCCTCGTAAAAGCGAAGGTCAGATGATCTAATAGTATAGAAGGTAAACATGTCATTGCCCAAATACGATAGTCCGAGTAAAATATTACTTATTCAAAAAAGGTGATGAAGCTTTATATATTTTAAAAATATTATTAATCTTACGTTTTTGCTGTTATAATATTTGATCAATTTATCACAATGCTATACTGAAGAATATTCTTAATGGAAAATGCTTAAAAAATCCACTTGGTCCCTGGCACCCTGAGATGCAGTTCGCACCCATGACCTTTCGCAATCCGGGCGACTGCTCTAACCACTGAGCTACCCAGGACTCACAAGACAGACGAATTTTTCAAGCAATCCCTTCCCTTAGTGAAATAGTTGTGTTTCATGCCGTAGTTGTTCAATTTAATATAGAGTGAACGAGTCAATATACATTGTATGTAGATGTACAATGTATATGGACTCGTACACTCTATATTAAAACAGTTCAAAAAAGAATCGTCTGATCAGCATTTCGAGTTCAACGCTCTGCAAACTAAATTCGCCAATTAATTATTATCATTTATAATCTTATTACATTGAAAAAGTGTACAAATCATTACACACATAATTGGATTTGGTAATTTATTCCGTTTCTCCCTTAATATCCGTATAAACTGGAGGCGTCCTATTATTTATATATACCATATGCATAATATGTTATTTATTTAGGATGCCCACGATGGCGAAGTCAATTCTGTGAAATGGAGTCCTACAGAGCGAATGTTGGCAACAGGAGGTGCCGATAGGAAAGTCAAACTATGGGACGTTTCAAAATGTTAGTAAACTTTTTTATTTGCTGGTAAATATATAGTAATATAATTAATACTTTACAAAAATATATTTTTGGTCGAATTACATTATCCTACATTTCACTCCATTTTCAAATACATCCTACCCCCATCTATTATAAGCATGAACTTACTGTTAGGTAGTGAACCAATGCCATTTTTGACTTTGTTTTCAGCGTGCACAAAAGACTATTAGCACTAACATTCCAAATTTCATATGTGACGGAAATCAAAATACTTCCGCGCATATAGGGGTATTCTACGTACTGTTCGTTTTCGAATCGAGAGGTATATATGAGTTAAACCAATTAGGAAACATTTTGCCGTAGGTGTTATTTTTATGGAAATTTTATATAACCAACCATGCATCAGAAAAAGTTTCTAAGAAATTTAAATAGGTTTATAGAGCGACCTTCATAAGGATTGTCATACAGATTCATTTGTCAGCAACGCTATCTAGCTTTGAGTAACAGCAACGTACACTAAAATTTGTAAACGTGTCTAATTCATAAGTTGTCAGTATTGGTACAGCAACAGATGGCGTTATTTTGTAGTTATTATATATTCCATAAAAGTTGAAATAAATAACTTTTTATTTATTTAACAATAGAAGACAATCTTGTTATCACAAGGAGCCTAATTTTGCGTCTAAAAAAGTTCTTGAAAGCCCGTCAAGTACCTATATTTAAATCAATGTTTTAATTTTAATAACACAGAGATGATGGTAAATTCTATGTAGTCACCTCCTGACTTAAAAAGTCGTTGGATAGTTTGATTGCTATGTCAGAAATATTAAAATATATAATGATTATTCAATAGGTATAGTGGAAAGCAAAGGCACGCTTGTCGGCTCGAACAAGAGTGTTATGTCGGTGGATTTCGACTCGACTGGAGCGTATCTCGTCGGGGCGTCATACGATTTTGCATGCCGGGTGTGGACGGTTTGCGACCAGAGACAAAGGGTGAGTCACTAATATTATGCTGATTACAAAAATATCTATCACCATCCTTCTATACAGCAAAATACCTATGATATTGTTGAATAAAAATATATGATTAATTCATCACAAAAGTTAAATAGTGAAGGAATAATCATGGACGCCGGCAAAAGGGTGTGAAGGGATTCCAAAGACAAAACGCACAAATGTTTAGTATCACATGAATAGTTTATTTTTGGTCTTCTTTTTTTCTTTTTTAGGTATAGGACTAGGTACTCTACAATGTTGTGGCCCTAGGTTAATGATGTTTCGTTTTATGTGTTATATTAGATGAATTTAAATTATTTCAAATTAAATAAAGCATTTTCTTACACTGTATTTTATCATTACAGTATACAGCAGAAAAGTCTAAAATACAATAAATGTACTGGTATTACAGTGAATCTGGAAGCACTGGACAATTCTGACTTTCGGCGATCTATCTAATCTTGTTAAATGAATAATGCCCTTTTAATCCCACCATACACACGGCATTACCATGTTGCGAGTTAACCCGGGTTTCGCCACAGTCTGAAGCCTGACCGACCTTTGACCACGACCTATTTCGCACGTTATTGTCGTACGTGATCTACTTTTCATTACCAGCTTCAAAAATGGTTCGGTTCATTAGGTTTCTTTCAGTGAGCTCTTGAGGTACCCAATATCCAAATTTTATGTGTCCCCAGCTTTTTTGAAATGCTTATTTTGACTGTAAGAAAACCAAATGAAAATCACACATTTTCCTTATTTGAATTCAGAGTTATCTTCTTCAAAATTTAAACTTTTTAATTATACCTAAATTACCATTTGTATTTGACAAATAGCCATATTATCTTACTTTTTATTACAAGTTTATGCATACTATATATGAAAAGATTTTTTTTCCAACCTAATAAACGCAAGCATCAAAAATTTACTACTGATATAATAAGAAGAAAATTAAATCTTCGTTTAACGACATTTTGTGGTATATAATTAAACAATAAAGTTATAAAATTTTAGGAAGAAATCTTGTTTATGAAAACTAGCTTTCCGCCAGCAAGCATCAAAAATTTACTACTGATATAATAAGAAGAAAATTAAATCTTCGTTTAACAATATTTTGTGGTATATAATTATAAATTAACCGAACTTACCTTAAGTGAAGTTCTATTTTAATTGTACGAACTGCATTATTTTGCCATAAGTTAGCCATTAGTTATAATTAAGTTTGCCATTAGTTATATTATAATTGGTTTGCCATAAGTTTGAACAATTCTGTTAAAATATTTGTCATTTAATTCACACTCTATCTCAGAATGTAATTTTCTAGATTCTTTATCTGCAATTATATTGTGAGTTGCCTTTATATATGAAGCAAATATAAAGAGTTCTCTCTCTTCACACCATTGCCAAATTTCTTTCGTAATTGAGTTTAAATGTTGGTATTGGGTTCCCCCCATGCGGTTTATGTATGAAACAGCTAATTAAATTACTAATTCTCTTTTCTGTTGGTAAACCTACAGTATAATTTTCGGAGTTTAACTCCATTCCCAAAAATTTTACACATTTATTAGTTTCAACAAACTTTTTTCAAAGTTCACTATGAATCCTAGTTTATCTAATATTCTTATGGTTTCTTTTATGTTGATGGAACAGCTGAACACAGAATCTGCACAGCACCAGATGTCATCGATATATCTTACTGAAATGAAACCCTTTGTTCTTACCTACTGCATGATTGGTTTCATTAATTTGGTGAAAATATATGGGGCTGTACTTAATCCAAATGGTAAAACTTGAAATTCATATATTTTTTCTTTCCAAATAAAGGATAAATATCTTTTACTGTTGTCATGTATAGGCAGTAAATAATATGCATCTTTAAGATCTATGGTACCCATATAAGAATCTTTTGACATTAATTTTAAGATTATGCGCATATCTTCTAGTTTGAAATGATCAGTTTGGATGAATTTGTTTAACTCTTTCAAATTAAGTATGAATCTACTTTCACCATTTGGTTTAGGTACAGTAAAATTTTTTGAATAGAATTGCCCCAAATAGGGTTTGCAGCATTTAATGGCCCCTTTACATAGTAATTCATATACACATTTATCTATTTCTGCAATTTCACAATTATTAAAACCGTTATTTGTTGGAATTGTGTGTTCAAAAGGAGTATCCATAAATTGGATTTCATATCCACTAATCCAGTTTAAAATCCTAGAGTCAGATGTTATCTTTGCCCATTGTTCCTTAAATAAGGATAACCGGCCACAATGTAGATGTAAATGACTCACCTGAATTAATTGCGATTGCTGTTCAGCCGTAGAGGAGCTTTGTATTGATTGTAAGTCTTTAGCACTTGAGACATTTGTGGTACCCGTGTGTGCTTCCTGAAAGCCTGCGGAGTACATTGCAGCCCAGTTCGGTAAGTTCGGCTTCGTGGATGATTCGCAACTGGGCCTTTGGAATTTAAATAAATTGCTTGTTGTGGTTTCTTATTCTTAATAAGTTTTATTTAATGACCAGATTTTCTTATGGCTCTAGTAACCTTCAATTTTTCTGAAAAATTTTCACCAAAAAACCATTGGTCTATTTCAGAATCTTTAACCGAGTCACGTACGTGTTGGTCAAGACTTTGCAGAATAAAATTTCTACGGAACACTGATTCATGGTGTTGTAGATCACATAGCAACTGTGCAGCATCACTTATATAATTAACCACAGTAACATTGTCTTTGTGTTTTAATAACATTTCCAACCTCATGGATAAAGCTGTTAAGGCACATCCTGTTTGTTGTTGTTTGGTAAAGATACTTTTGTCTCTTTTTAGGGTCTGCTCGGATACTGTGACTTGGGCTTCTAAATTCAGTTCCGGAGCATCTATATTCTTGAAATTTTCTGGAGGAATGTATTTTTTCTCAATTTCTTTACATATTTCTCTAGATAGTCCACTTTTTATTAGATTGGTCCATTTAGAAGCTAATTCCTTGTGAATCTTGGGACCATACTTGGCATTATCTTCTGTATTGCCGAGTATTGAAAGAAATTCCTCGTCTAATTCTTCATTGTCATCTGTAATATAGTATATTTGAGAAAAGGTAAATAGACAAATTGTTATAGTAACTCTTTGCCGCGACTATAATGTATTTAAATAACAATTCACTAAATAATTATTTATCCAACCATTTTTTAATTTAAATAAAGTATAACATTAAATGTTGCATCTCCATTATTCTTTATTGATATTTAGGCATTTAGATAAGTGTGAAATTTTGTTACTTATACTGTTGTATAGGTATAACGATGGTTATATCGCAATAGATATATGATAATTAATTTGCAAAATCGCAATTTAGGTAGTATTATAATAAGTAATACCTTCGATATCGATTAATATGACGTCATCACTTTTTGTGCTTTCTCCTTGTGTAGCGGTATCTTGGAGTATGTTGATATCTGTAAATACAGATAAAACAAAAGGTGGTTATAAAGGGATTAATAACCCTTTTTACTGTAGGACTAAACAGTCCAGCATTTAAAAACTATTTCACCTAAATAGGTTATAGTTAAATGCGTATAAATTAATGCACAAGTGATTTGACATTTTTCACACTTTGCTTACCTTTGTTTTCAGTGATATTTTTATCACAACTATCTTCAAAAGGTAACTGATTTTCATGATCGGAAGATGGCGGAGACGCCGACGCCGACATCGTGTTTGGCGTTCTCGTTTGCTGATTTGCCATTTCTTCATATTTTTGAAGTTTCCTTTTATATTTTTCGATTCTTTGACGTTTTGGCATTTTTTGGTACTTTTATTTAACATTATAAAAGTACCAAAAAATGCCAAAACAAGACTTTTAAATACAACCGCGCGGTGTATGGCCTCCGGGCCGATCCCGTGCATCGCCTTCCATGCGAGGGACATCGCTGAGTTTTAGTGGGTATACCTCTGCTATTTGACTAACCCCATTCTGGGGTGGGTTCGCAGGGGGGAGCCCCACATAACCCGTGGAGCCTGCGCTGGGTGAAACAGGTATGCAGTAATGCATTTCTCAGCGTCAAAAAAAAAAGCTTTTAACTACAACCAAATTTTTTCACTGTGACGTTGACTGCACGAAAAACGCTAATGACGGAACCTCAAAGATGGCGCCTAGAACAGGAAGGAAACACTTAATTTTTTTTTATATAGCATTGAATTTGAGCTGATTTAGGCTCTGAATTTCGTGACTAACGACTGCCGAAGCACGTGTACTACTTTGTATGCTATTATCATGAAGAGACTATGCAGTGTTTAAGTACAATTAAACAATAAAGTTATAAAATTTGGGAAGAAATCTTGTTTTAGAAAAACTAGCTTTCCGCCAGCAGCTTCGCTCGCGTAGTTTTGTATTATAAACTTTTAACCGCTCTGCATATTGGTGAAAACTACATTAAAATTTGTTTTGTAATTTTTAAATATCTCAGCATAGTCAGTGGGAAGTTAACTTCTTTCATACTATGTTTAGATTAGCAAACAAAGCCAATTGCACTTATAGGTATTAAAATGTTGCCATATCAATCAAGTATCTCACATACCTCATAAATCATGATACCCCATTGCGTATACCACGATTTTTAAATCAAATACGTAAATCTAATTAAATTACTTAGACTTGGTCATCACCAATCTCACTTATTCCTTGACATTGCTTTAAACTTAATGAGCGATACTAATCTATCTAAGAAAACATTCCCATTCCAATCTTACCATAAATTTATTTAATATGCTCTAAATACGAAATTCCTTAATTGTTAAAAATAGATCGTTCGTTCTTTTTATTACAATTTGCATTTTATACTACCTGACCTGGCAAACTTAGCTCATCCAGTTTGTATGGGAAAAAAGTATCAGTCCCACGGACCTCAACGAATGAGTAATTTAAGGTAAAAATACCGATTTAGTCTAGACGTTCTAAAATTTAGCGCTAAGAAACTCATTTAGGAAAGAATTTTTATTTGCATTAGAACGTTTTTCTAATTCTGCTTATTACAAATATAATATAGGCTATGCTTATAACTACACCCTATTCCAATTGTTTGTAATTAGCATATTGGTGTGTTTCGATTTTAATGAAAGTCTATGTTATGAAACCGTTATTTAGGTTAATTTAATAATAATATGACTGTATAGAATATTGCATAAAATTAAAAAAAAAACTCTTTTGTAATACAGCCCGGTAACTAATTAAAAAACATG